GTACTATCATCATCATCATCATCATCTCCAGTGTTTTCCAGCCACTGACTCCATATATTTATGAGCTAATCACAATCCATTTTCTACTTCTTTATAAACTAATTTAAAAGCACAAAATTTCTTATTTTCATAGAAATTGGTCCCATAACAATTTCTCTTTTGGAAACCCTATATACATCACTATGGAACCCCTATTGTACACCGGCATAATACTCTATGTAGGTGATTCTTTGTGCATCCTGGGAAACAAGCCAGCCCTAAATTAAATCTTGTCATGCCCCTCTCTCCACAATGTTGCTTTTTATTCTGTAAGGCTCTCCCTCCTTTAAAGAAAACACTGATCCAAAGCCTTCAGTGACAAATTAAACAATACTTGTAAATACTTCTAAATATTAATATCCCATCCTAGGCATGATAGACGAGATGAGATATAAAGTCCAAGGAAATAATATATGCATGCACGAATCTAAGCATTTGTGCACCCACATGCTAGCTGACAGGCACCAGCTGGTGAACAGGTGGCTGGTGGAAGAAGAAAGAGGCAGCTGGGTTGAAAGAGGGGGATGGAAGGGAAGATATGCCCAAAGGGATTTCAGAAGCAGATCAGGGATTGATCATCTAGACTAGAGGCATGAGGACAAAGAGGTTGTATAGGTGAGCACAAGAATGTGAGGTGCAAAGCCAGGATACGGCTGGAAAAAGGCAGTCTTCCAAAACTCATTTGCATTGCAAATGATCAAAAAGTCATGGTTTGCAAATTTCTGATCCTTGGGGTTCAAATGCAACAACCTTTTCAATGCCTGAAAAACTTATTTTGGGATTATCACTCCCAGAATCTCCCGTCCAGTGTAGCTGATGGCTCTGCATATATGGTGATAGCTCCCTTTTACAAATGAACACAGAATGAGGAGTGGACCCAACAGATTATCACTTTCTCACCTCTCCCAGGAATCATAGTATTTAGATTGATTTTTAAAAATTCTCCTCCCACTTGACTCTTTATACTATTTTTACATTTCCTGCATTCATCCGTAAAGCCTGTAGCAGTTAAAATGCTTGCCTCTGGCTCCCATTCCACATCACCATTCATACCTGTATAGAATAGCTTTAAAGAGTCCTGGTAAATCTCTTGTGTAAAAATGTCCTATAGTTGCTTGAAATTTGCTCCAGTTGAAATGTTCTGAAACATCAGAATTACTGTGCCAGCTCAAAAGACTCACCTCATCCCCACTGCCTATTCGATGGCCCAGGTCCTTTAAATTCCGCATCATTCGCTCATCTCTAAAATCATATGGAAAGGTCTCTGTCCACTCTGTTAACAACTGCAGGATTTTGGGGGCAATTTTCCGTAGCCGGCTCTGGAGAGAGAGAGAGAGAGAGAGAGAGAGAGAGAGAGAGAGAGAAAAGGAATGAATCTGATACAGGGGTAGTCATATGGATTTTAATGTGCTACAGATAATGCAAAGATACCTAAACATGCTGAAGACATCATATCCCATCTGATCTTAGAAGCTAAGCAGGGTCAAGACTATTGAGTACTTGGATGGGGGACAACCAAAGAATACCAGGTGCTGTAGGCTGTATTTCAGAGGAAGGCAATGGCAAACTACCTCTGCTTAAGGAAACACTATGAAGCTCATGGAGTCATCATAAGTTGACAGGTAACTAGAACACACACACATACACACAGTTAGTGCAAAATGTTTGGAGCTTATTTCAGCACACACTCACTGAAGTACATGAGACAATGATCACCATATCATGGAAAGCTAAATGAGGACTGTGGAACCTGTGGGCCTCCAGATTACAACTCCCATCTTATCTGGCCACTGGTTGAGCTGGGGCTGATGGGATTTGGATTCCACAAACCTGTGGCGGGACATAGGATCCCATTACTGAACTGAACCCTTAGTATATTTTAACTTCTATGCTCAATAGAGTATGAAAACAAAGCCACTATGATTCACGTGGTAATACTCAAAAGGTGCAGTGCAGGGCAGCTGTAACCATTTGGAAGCCTCCAGCCTCCAGCCTCCAGAACAAGTCAAAAGTCTACCTGTAACAAAAGCCCCAAACCCATGGCTTTTCTAGGTAGCAACAATGGCCAGGACAATGAAATTCTTCACATCACTGTATAATAACTGCTATCTTCCCTGTTCATTGGATATACCAATTCATTAGGGATTTTTAAGTGGATGAGTTAACAAAATGATGTGCTCTTTTTGTCCTAGCAGAGTAAATGGAACTATTTCTTCAGTCCAAGACTCCATCATTACTCAAAGTTATGCCACAGTCTATTAGAGAGAAGTATTATTTAGAATTACATCTACACTGTAGAAATAATGCAGTTTGACACTACTTAAAAGTGCAGTAGCTCCATCCTATGTAATCCTGGGATTTGTCCTTTTACAAGGTCTTTAGCCTTCTCTGCCAAAGA